GCGATTTACAAAACAATTAGCCTTTTTCTCGTCCCTTCGGGCCCAATTTCCCCCCAAGTCTCGTATAGGCATCTTGGAGTTAATTGGTGGCTTCATGGACTATTGGGCTTTTCAACGCAATACTGCTGCCTTGAATTTGGACATACCGTCTTTATATATGTACATTTCAGTGTTGAATTCTTCCTCACGTTTAATCGCTTTGTTTTCAGCCGATTTTAACTGAAGCTGAGTGGAGGGGGAGCGATCTATCTACCATTCTCGTTTTACATGCTTTTTTTCACTTAAAATATTTTCTATTTCTCTATTAGAGATTTTTCTGCATATATTTTTCGGCTTATAACTTTTGTTTGGTGTTGCTACGACAGCTGCGCTGCTTATTATATCATTGAGTTATCTTATGCTTTCGTCAATATCTCTTTTTGTATTTATTTTGTACTCAACATTAATGTGGCTACTTACGTATTTTTTGTATTTTAGCCAATTCGTTTTATAAGATGTTAGACCCATTATTGGATCAACGAATATGGGTTGTTCACATAAATTTATTATTACAGGAGAGTAATCAGAAGATAGGTCAGTACATGTATCAACTATTATGTGCTATTGATCTATATTTTTGATTACAACAACATCAACTAAATCTGGAATTTTGTTATGATCAATATGTCCGCTTACCGATAGATATTATGTCAAGGTTATTGTGCCTATTTATAATAGTGTGATACAGCTGTCATCTTTTTGGATTAATTAGTCGTGAGCCCTAATAMGTGTGTTTTGCATTGTAATCTCCATCTCCTAGAAATTTATGGTCTAGTGTTCGAAAAAGTCTCTAAGTTGAATGTCTGTAATTTTAAATCGAGGTAGACAGCACTTAGGCGACAAGTTTAAGTCTCCGCAGCGATTTCTTATAATATAATTGTAGCTTGTAACTGCGCTGTGGCATAACTATTCTAATGCGTGGTGATTTAACCGTTTTCTAAACAACACTGCTGTTCCACCATGTAACTTTCCAACTCTGCGATTTGTAACATAAATTCTAAATTGCGATATAAAGAAATTGTTTTTATTCCTAAGATGCGTTTCTGATAAATGCATAACATCTATATTATTTTCATCAAGAAATCTAATAAGCTCCAATTTATGTTGGTTGACACCGTTAGCATTCCAAAACGTATGTTCAATACACTGATTTTTTATTTAAAAAGTTTGCAAAATTTGGTCTCTTGAATCATATTTTGCATTGAAGCCATAAATTGTGTTAGTTATTACATGATATTGCTTTGGGTAATGTTAAAAATCATAGTTTCAACGCTTCCATTTGGTTGGTTTTGGGGCAATTGCATTTGTGCAGTATTGCCTATYACCACGTTTGCATAGCTCTCTTGTTTAGCATTATCTTTAAAATTTACTGGTTTTGAAATATGGACGGGGATTTCAATATTTCCATTACTAGGAATATTTAACATTTGGTTACGACGTGCTTGAATTCCGACAGACAATTTCATTTTAGAGTCATTATATACATCTTTTTTAAGACCACATTTAAATGTGGGATGTAAATCACCACACACCACACAGACACTGCGCAGGGTGCAATATGATTTCGTGTGTCCATATTCTTGGCAGTTTGTGCATTRTACTGGACTAATTCTTTTATGTGGTTACTCAACTGATATTCTGCGATGGAGCAGATATTTTAGATTGTAAATCGGAAGTGTTTCGTTTTTCTTTGGCTGATTAGAATTTGTTCCCGTTAAAAATATTTACTACTGATTGTATACTAAAACCACCYTCTTCCAATGCTTCTTTAACATCGTTAGARTCTATCGAAGACCTATACCTTTTATGACAACAACTAGGCCTTTGGAGCTCTTCAGTTGGTAAGAGTAATAATTCTTGTTATTATTTGATAAGAAGTTTGCAATATTCATGAACCTTTTTCTAGCGTGTGTTTGAATTTTTGTTTCATCTATGTTACCTTTTCTCAAAGGCACAATGTGAAATATGTTTATCCCTATTATATTGCTTATTTTGGAAACAAGGACATTTGAGCTACACTTAGTAATGGCAAACAWTTTTTTTAATCGATTAAATAATCAAATGTTTAATTGCAAGATATAAAAAAATAATTGAAACTAATGAAAAAAAATTAATTAATCGATTAATTACAATGTTTTCAAATAATACTAAATTGCGTAAAGACCACAACCAAGTTTCAGCGCTCTATCACAGAGTGCAAGACATATCCTAAAAGAGAAAATAGCCTATATTTGAAGTTAAGTTGCACAACGACATTACATTTTTCAAAATATCTTCAGCAATCTTAAAGCAAAATAATTGAGTCTTGCTTGAAAAACGATGTTTTGTAACTTTGAGTAAAAATAAAACCAATAAACTATTCTTATTTCAGACCTTCAAATTRTGTTGGTATATATACAAAAACAAAAACGGAACTAAAATTAAAATATCGTATTAAAAATTCATTTGTCTTAGCATAAATGAAAATATATTAATTGAAATCAAGAAAATTTATTCTCTGTTCAACCAAGTTTGAAGAAAAAGCAATTTCGATAAACGTTTTGTTGTTAAACGATTGCGGTTTTCGGTCGCAGTTGCACCCGCTTTTGAGAAAAGCCGCTCAGCTGGTACCGAGGTACCACGGAGATGACAATACTTTTAGTGTTTTGACTTAKTTCTAATACCTGACAATTCAAATAAAAGCTCAATTCATATTCTGGAGATGTAAAATCAATGTCTTTCCTTCTTCCCTTGTGCACTAGAGTTTTGTGAGGAGCCCAGAGGTCAAACTCATTTTCTACCGATTCCACTGACGACTCGCTGCCCGTTTCCATAGTATCATCTACAACTATTATTTCAGTACGTAAAAACTTTATAACTGGGGAACACCCTATCGCAATCCTAGATTACAGAGTCTAATGTGTACACATATATTTATATATAATTAGAAGAAATTTAAAATGTAATACCGATTGCTCCAACTTACTCGCAGGCTACAGTTGCATGCATTAATTTTAAATGCTTCAAGATATTTGATGTGTTATTACAAAATTTTAAATTTTTGCAGCAAAGTTGTCATTCAACGTAGTTATGGCTTATTTTGTTAAAAAATGTCCACACTTCGCTTTTAACCGGCGCCATTCTCTTCAAACAACTGAACGTAAAGTGCGTTTGACTTAACTGTAAATGCAGTGTTACCAGACATTCATTTCTTGATATTAAACTATGTTGACATATTAGAATTTAACTATGTTTACACCKTTTCCAGTCAATAATGATTGGTGCGACCAATTTCGACCCCTGTACGCTAACTCAGATGAACATAAAATGTATTAAATTTCAAAATGCTGTTTGCGATTATTTTGCAATTACTTGAGTAATAGTCGAGTAATTATAAAAGATGTTTCGATACAATTAAATCGTAAATTGAATGAAAATAATCGATTCATTTATTCAAATGAGTAATCGTTCCCATCCCTAGCTACGCACATGCAAATAGATTGGAGGGGGTTTTCCATTCACGACTGTGGTGGTCCCCATTGCATCGTTACCATTAAAAATTTGTGGCTTTTTGCTATTTAGTGTGCCTGGTTGAAATTTTTTGGTATTGACCGCTGATTTAATAGGTCTCGATTTCCTTTTAACATTAATGTGGCGATCAATACAGTATATAACCTGACGGCCAGTGTTTGAAAAACTACGCAACTCCCGTATCATTTCATTTTCCTATCGCTACTGCTATCACGTCGTCGGGAGGCACTGCAGTGCCACAGCATAACACGTAAAAGTATGTGCTCTGCTCTGCTCCGAGTTTTGTTAGGTAAGAAACTATAGCTGAAGCGAGAGCAAAAAACGAAGTGCTGGGCTCCGCTCTGGCATAGCGGTTGGAAAAAATTGGGAGCGGTTTAATTAATTGAGTAATTCAACCAAAAAATGTTCTGCAAATCATTTTGGCACTTGTAGCGTCAAGTGACTTTATAGATCTAAAAGCAGATATTTTAAATAATAAATTAATAAAATGAATTATRTTATAATGAATAAATTATAAAATGTTTTTTAATGTATGCAAAATATTTACCATTTTTATATTACCAAAAATCATCTATTACAAATGTATTACAATACTCAATTACTATGAATTTTCGAGATTAATTTTAGCTAYATATGTATGTATATCGTACTTACCCTTTTTTTATATACATATTTACCACTAGTTTAAGATGTTAGGTAAATTTTTAGGCTATACCATGAAATTCTGGCGAATTGGCGTTTTCCTAACCGGCATCTTTGAAATTCGCTTAGACATCCAATTAAACCCAACCCAATTAATTGGTTCGTCCGAAAAAAACTGCCTGATTCAGAAGCAAAATCAGTATAACCCATAGACTAAGCATTTATGAATATGAAAATTTTTAGTTTCAAAATTCTCAAGCGTTGTTGAGAAGCGAAAATATAACTTATGGAATGCGCGAATAAAATAAGAAGTCTAATTGCCTGTCACGAAAATAACGATAAAAATTAAAAAAAAAAAATATGTATTAAAGTAAAATAAATATGTATTAAAGAAGGGGTAAGTATAACTCTTCGACTTTCGTTAAATATTGTAAGTATTAAGGTCAGTAATAGATTAGTATTATAAATGCATTATTAAGGTAAGTTTTTTATAATAGATTTTCTTAATTTAATTTTTAATAGTTCAATATTTTACAATTCATTTAATTATTTTTGTTTTAGATATAGATATGTCGCTTGACGCAACAACGGCCACCTTGACAGGATCAGATTCCTTCAATTTCCAGTGGAAGGACGGCCAGTTTGTGTATGGGACGCTGAATTGTGCCCATCTTGGTTGCCACGTCTGCGACASGCACCTAGCCGTCTTGCCCTTTGACGGTTGCCACGACGCGCCCTAGTACCCACTGCTGTGGTRGCCCGTTGTCCGCGTGGACGAGAACGAGGTCGTTGAGCTGCTTGTTGGGCTCCTAAAGGCCCGTCAGGTATACTTTGGACCACTGTCGCCAGAACTGTTGCTGGAGACAGCAAACAAGTTGCCATCTCTCGCAACAACGAACTGGAGTCACTGGCACCTTCTCTGGGGATAAAGCCCGGGACCATTCTATTAGTAGATGCGCTGGGGTTAGTTCCTCGCCGTCGTTGGGGTCCTGGCTGCACGGTGTTAAGGGCCGAKAATTGAGKATGGCTTCCACTTCTGCCAGTAGTGTTGACAGTTCCTCTGCGGTCAGTAGCGCATTGCCGATTACGCGAACGATGTAGTGTTTGGCGGACTTCACCGCGGTTTTCCATAATTCGCCGAAGTGCGGCGCCCGCGGTGGTATAAAGATGAAGCTGCACCCTTCGTCTGCTGCGAATCTCTTCAGTTCTGGACCCATTGTTAGAAACGCCTCCTTCAATTCGCGCAGCTTGCCATCGGCGCCGACGAAATTGGTAGCGTTGTCGCTGAATATCTTCGTCGGCATCCCTCGGCATCCAATGAACCTTTTTATGGCGAGAATAAATGAATTAGAAAATAGGTCCGAAACTATTTCTAAATGTACTGCTTTGGAAGTAAAGCAAACGAAAACTGCAATATATGTTTCTACGGGTGGTCGACCGCGTATTTTTAACGTTGTGTATATCGGAGCACAAAAATCTGCGCCACATATAAGAAAGGGCCGTAGTGTTCGAAGTTTTTCGACTGGCAAATTTCCCACTATTTGGTTTTGYAACTTCGSCTTTTAATGAAAACAATGTATACAGTTTCTTACGGTTCTACTGCAGGCTTCTCGGGCATTAATTAGCCATATGCGTTCTCGAAGAAGCGCAGCTAACGCTTTAGCCCCAGCATGGTGATTTCGAATATGCAGGAACCGTAAATACGTTATAACGAAGTGCGAATTTTTATTTAATAAAAGCGGAAATTTGGCATCGCATGGGAGAGGTGCATTTAATAGGCGACCTCCTACTCGGATTAATTTGAATGAAAGCGATGTATCCGAGTACTCATGCAAAAACGGGTTGAGTTTTTGCAAGTTTGGGGGGAGGCATGGTACCTTTATGCAATTTTTGAATAACATCCGAAAATTCTGAATGTTGGACCGCCTGTGCAATTTTTAGAAAACTCAAGTTTAGCTCTTCTGAAGTCAGATCCTGTCCCATGGAGGATTTTGGTGGTCGTCTGATCCATCGTAATATGTATGCGACCACACGACACAATTTTTTATGAGAAGAGAATWTTTCAATAAGGTCCAATATTGAATTTTTCTCAGCAGTCGAAATTAATGTTAATGTATTTTCCTTCTTCTCTAATGCTTTGTCTTCTGGTGAGAGCTGGAAGTGGTTATTAATCGGCCATAATGCAGGGTCTTCTAGGAGGAACTCTAAAACATAGCGAAACAAATCCTCTTTCGGCAACCAATGGATTTCTAACGGTTTAGTGGAACTTTTGTCATTGTAACGTAATGACTTTTCAGTGGAGTCACTGGCGAAAAAATTAGGGTGGTTCGAAAACCATTTCATTTAGGTGAATCTGGCCGAGTTTAATATTTTTATTACCTCACTTCTCTAAAGATCTAGAGACTCAAAATTTTCGGCCGCTGTTAATAAATCATCAACACAAAAGTCTCTTTTGGTGGCCAATGAACCAAGTGGATATATCAYTGTATTGGCATCACTGAGCATTTGCAAACACCGTGTTGCGAGAAATGGAGCAGGCGCAGYGCCGTATGTTACGGTGTTAAGACGAAAAATTTGAATTTGCTCAGAAGGATGCTCTCTCCACACAATAAGCTGACAATTTCTGTCTTCTTCATGCATAATTATTTGACGGTATATTTTAGTAATGTCCGCTGTTAGTGCATACTTATGTAAGCGAAAACGAAGAAGAGTTGAGTATAACTCTTCTTGGATGGTTCGACCTACCATCAAAAGTTCACTCAACGCTATTTGAATTGAAGATCGACTCGAAGCATCAAATACAACACGTAATTTGGTTGTTCTCGGGCCTTAAAACGCATTGATGAGGAATGAAGTGGTGTGGCTCACTCGGGATCTTATTGTTCGTTGGGATCATGTGACCCAATGCTCTATATTCATTCATAAAGTCCAGATACATTTTACGAAGTTCTGGATCTTTTAATGTCCTTCTTTCTAGGGCCTGAAACCGCCGAACTGATGTTTCACAGGAGTGACCGAGTAACTTACGGTCAGCTTTAAAAGGCATTCTTACTTGAAGCCGTCCTGAAGGCAACACTTGAGTTATTTTCACGAAAAATTTTTCACACTCTTTTTGCTCTTGTGTGAATTTGATGCCATTTCTTTCTGAAGGTAATTCTTCTAAAGCCCAAAACTTTTGGGCCACTGAATTAATAGCGTTAAATCTTCTTCAGCTTGGCATAATGTGCTATGTAATCTGGGAAGAGAATTTATGTTACTGGCGCATTTGCCAGATATAATCCATCCTAAAAGGGTTTTCTGAAGTGTTGGTTGGTTAGGACCATTTTTAATTTGGCCAACAGCTAAAAGGTCAAAAAATGTTTCAGCACCCAAAAGGGTATCCACTTTTTTAGATTTGTGGAATTCTGGGTCCGCTAATTCATTATTGTGCGGAATTTTTAAGCCACTGACATTGATGTTATGGTGTGGATGATTTGCCGAAATACACCACATTACCCAGAATTCCGCCGAAAATTCATAATTATTTAACCGCGACTTAAYAAACGCGCTTAGTTTTGACCACACTTTCGTATTGGAATTGCTAATTCCTATTACGCTTAATGTTTTATGCTGACGTCGAATCCGCAACTTCTGTGCCAAGTYCTCCGTCATGAAGTTGACTTGGGAGCGTGAGTCCAGCAACGCTCTCGCAGGCATGTAATCTCCACAGCTGGTCCTCACTAAAATTACTGCTGTTGCCAACATTGGTGGATGGTTGCGGATGAGGTGCAGCGGGGAAGGACATTGGATACTGGTGCAACAGCGAGTGATGGGATCGATTGCATATCCGGCAACGACCCGGTTTGCATTTGGAAACGGTATGTCCCTTACGCAAGCAATTTATGCATAGGGGTACCGATTTGACGAACTCGAATCTCTGTTGCACCGGAAGAGCCTTGAAAGTAGGGCAGGCAGTTAGATGGTGATCCCTCGAGTTGCACTGTTGGCAACTAGGCTGCCTGATTTTTGCAGCAACTAGCGCCGATTTGGTCCTATCCATTTGTTGCTGCTTCCCATGATTCGTACTGCCTGTTGGTATGGGCTTCGTCCTTAAATGTGATGCCCTTCCGCTGATAACTGCTGGAATCTTCGATTTAGGGTGGCTTCACATTCCTTCCACAGTGGCAGCTTGTCATAATCCAGCTGTTCTTCCCATTTGGATTGGGTGGCAGGGTCAACCTTTGTCATTACAAAATGTATTATAATAGCGTTTGTTATCTGCACCTCATCGCCCAGCGATAGCAATGAGTCATATACCACTGACACTTCGTCAATCTGGCTTTTGGATGGTTGGCAGCTCAAAAAGTTTAGATATTGTATTGAAAAATATCAAACATTTATTATCATAAACTTTTTTGAGACTTGCCAACGCTTTCGGGTAATTTTCAT